ATCTAACAGATCAGGTATGATCTCGCCAACGCCGCACATGCTGAAATTTGTATGCAGATCGCTCGCTGGGTCACTACGCCTCCTTTTATTATTTGCATATGATTAAGTCCCTTTTAGATAAATTTCCATCGAAATGAAAATTTTTGAATAATGTGGCTATTATTGCTTCATTAAGGCTTGCTCCCGGATTCGACCTGGCGAGATGAGCTTGTAAAAGCATCGCCTGCAAACTCGACCTGTTTCTTGTCGCTTTTAATTTTTGTCTTTATTTTATTTACCCTTTACAATAATAGAAGTGGTATCCGCGAATCGCTGGCTTCTCGGTGGCTTAGGAAAGGAAGGGCTGGAGCCGTTTACCAAAATAATAATAAAATCCGAGATAGGTGGTCCGGGGAAGACAGAGGGGGTTTGAAATCTAGCAAATACTGGCTATTTTCTTCCCCTCTCTACGGTTCATTAGTCCGTCTTGTCAGTTTTCCTTGGCCGAACGCTTTTAGACTTCAGTGAACATTGCTTTGTGCACGCCTGCCTGCTGCAAACGCACCCATTTTATTTTACTTAATAGAAAAAAAGAAAAAAAACCCACCAAAAAACAAAAACCGGAGAAAATAAAATGGGACCCAGATTTTAAATTATTTTCCTTCATCTTTCAAGTTTTTAATCCCTGTCTTGGAAAAATAAAAATACCCAACCCCCCAAACCAAGCCAGCAAAGCCTCGCGTGGTTTTGACAGTGTCCAGGGTTTGTCTGGGATGGTTCAAACCTTTAATGCTGGCTGTAGCCGATGTGGGAATTAGGGATGACTTGGGAAAGCTGGCTTTCCCCTCTCCCCTCCCCTCCCCTCCCCTCCTCTCCCTCTCTCCCCCACGGCCCATCTCCACACCCCTGCCCAGGCCTGGAGGTGCCCAATTCCAGTCACAGCCCGGCTCAGCCCAGCTCAGGCAAGGCCCAGGGGGGCTGGGGGGATCCTACCTTCGTACTGGACCCCCAGGTGCACGGAGCACAGCACGCCCAGCACGGGCTGCACAAGGACGGAGACCATCTCTCCCATCACGTCCTGGTGGAAAAAAAGGGGAGGGTGACAAGGACAGTTTTTACACAGCTGTCATTTTCCAGGCCAGTGCTCCCTGCCATGCCAAGGAGACAGGCACAGCTCCTGCCAGGGTGGGACGGGCAGACACAGGAGGTAGCGCTGCCCTGTGCCCCCAGCGAGGCCACGACCCACCAGCATGCTCCTGAGTGACTGCAGGGCCAGCCGCTGGGCTTGGGGAGAGGCGCAGGGTAGCACAGCAACAAGGCCTTTGTAGACTTGGTTCTGGTACTTGGGATTGCCGTGGCCCAAAGAGTCCAGCAACACCTGCACGTCTTCTTGAGCCTCTGCTGAGTTGGAAGCGGTGAGGAATGCAGCGAGGAATTGCACCCCTGTGCAGAGAAACAGCCACCAAGTCATGTGCCTGCATGAGTCTGGGTCACCCATCTCAGCGACTTCACTGTCACCCCCGAGAGAGCCTGGCACCACATCCCACTCCAAGGGTGGCTTGACAAATGGAAGCCAGGAAAAAAAGTTCATTGTCCTTGTCAGGAGCCACATCACCAACTGGAAAACCAGTTGGCACAATTCTCAGCTGGAGTAGGTAGCCAAGGACCTTTTGTGGGCATTTACACCAGCAGTCTGTCACTGGGATGCCAGTGGTGCTGCTAAGGAACCCTCTGCTGATCCTGCTGCTTCGTCTGCCCTGGAGGAAGCTGAGGGGGCAGGTATCACCCCACAGTCTCTGACAAGGTAATCTGAACTACAGAACAACTAACAGGGTTTGACTTCCACTGCCCAGGAAAAAAAAAGAAAAAAAAACCCGTTGTAATGTTCTTTAAAAAGATACAAGCCACAAAACTCTCCCACACCCAGAGGGGAAGTCTGGAAAAGTTTGCAGCAGGTGAATGATGCAGGTAAGAATGGAAACTGTTTTGTGGTTTTAACCAGAGCAGTTGTCACCGGTAGGACAGCAATATCACATCAAAATAAATGACTGTAAAGAAAGCGAGCTCATTAAAAACAGAGAGGGGATGAAATGCAACTGCTCAACAATAGCCGAGACTCTGAACTCCTTCCAGCCAGCGAAACGCGGCGGCAATCTGCTATCTGGCCGGTGGAGGGAAGGGAGTGGCTCAGGGCCCCCGGGGCCAGAGGTCAGGAAGAACATCCTCGCCCGAATTAGGAAAAAGCATGGACGCATGGACGGACACGCCACCTACCGTAGCTTTCACAAATGAGCTCCTTATACTTCCTGCCAGAGTCTGCGACGAGCTGCAGTAGCTTTACAGACTCCCTTTTGTCCTCTTGTTTCAGGTGGTTCAGCCCTAGTATTTCCAGGAGAATCACAACACCTCCAATCCCCAGAAATTCAAGAAGGTATCGGTGTCTGCAAGGATAGGGGGAACAAAGCCCAAAGTGTCACCCGCCTTGGAGACCCTCTTCCTCTGTCAGCTCGGCGTGCTCCTGGGGCCATCGCCTCCTGCCTCACTGCAGTGGGTGCCCGGTGCTGGGGCAGTGAACCCAAGGAGGCCCAGCCTGGGGCGCAGAGGCAGATGCCCACCAGCAGCACACTTTGCAGGTCACCAGCTTGTTTTACCCAGAGCTCATTTCTGGTATCAAACCAGAGGCACAGAAAGCCCTGTCTCCACATCGTGTCACTGACCTGGTGGCTCTGGAGACATGCACAAGAGGTGGATTTGCTTTTGAGAGCATTAATTTCAAATTCCTCCCACAAGCCTCACTGGGGTCTGCCTTGCCTGAAATGCTTAAACAGCCCTCCCAAAAGATGAACAAGGACTTGTTATTTTCTTAATCTACTCATCCCCTCACCCTGGAGTGCCTTCCCCATGGCACCTCTCACACAGTGATGTTCTATACTCACCCACTTGCAGCGGACAGGAAGATGCCAATGGACTTGAGCACCTTGTTGAGGCACGTGGTGTACACGTAGCTGTTTGGCAAGGCTAAGGAGAGATATACAAACCATCGTGGTGTCCCCCAGGCTGTCTTTGACAATGTGGAGGTCTGAACTGGGTACTCCCTCTGCAAGAGAGCATGGACCTTCTCACAGGTGGGCAGAGGCAGCATGCTCATCCCAGTGTGAGAAATAACACTAATTCTAGGTCCCTGAGAAACAGGTTATATGGCTTTCCCTTCAGTTCCATCTTCAGATAGTCTTCTTTTCTTTTAACCCTGCAGCTAGATATGGATGTCTCCATACAGAAGCTTATTATTTAAATAAATTTTTGGTAGAGAACTTTCCCTCCTCTCCATCCCACTACTACACGCCACCTCCAGGTGTCCAAGGGAACAGATACGTCATCCTGAGCCACACTGTAAGGCGAACCAGAAACAAGCTGGCTCCCTGGGAGAACTCCAGCTCCAGCTCTGGTTCTGTCTTGCCGTCATTGCTTTTAATGAAGTCTTCCAGGATCCGGCTTCGAGCAACTTTGTGGGCACTATGCCATTCCCGCAAGAAAACCATGAGCTTCCTGATGGCTTCCTGCTCTTTGACAGAAGTCATGATCTCTTCTGACTAGAGAAAAGTGAGAAAGAAGTTCAAAAAGGGCTTTGAAGATAGAAAAAGTCTGTACTAAGGAATTGCCAGCAGAATCACATTTAAAATCTCTGGCAAATAATATTAAAGCACTTACTAGCCATTAATTTAACCTAATTTTCCTTTATACTCATTTCATAGATAGGAAAACTGATGCAAAAGGAGAGTTCCTCGTATGTCTGAAGCTGCACAGTGAATCTGCATCAGACTTGAGAATATATTCCAGGGCAGGTGGCTTCACCACAGGAGCTCTCTTCTCTGCTCTGTTAATAAAGTCATTTTGATGTTACCCATTAGCCCAGCCTCGGTTTTTCACTCACCTCATGATATGAACACTGCATCTCATATCTGACCTGCCAGGGAATAAATAGGGTGAAATGAGAGCACAAATAGGTATGGATTTGTGGGGAGTGACAGGGTCAAGGGGGCTGTAAATGCCTGTTAGCACAGCAGCACAGCATGCTCTCACTCACGTGATGGAGCGACAGTCATTTGGACTAGGCCCACATCCACTCCAGGAAGATGTGCTTGGTCTTAGCGGTAAGAGAGTGCTTTGGGACCCTTTGGCATGACATGTATTTGCTCTGTTTTTTTCTTATCTAATTTCTATGGCATGTTTTTAAACAATCTAAGAAAGCCTGAAACGATACGAACTATAGGCAAGAAGACAGAAGCTTCAGAAACATCCCTTGCCTGCACTTCCTCCTGCCCCCTCAAACAGGTGTTAAATAAAGCAATCCATCTTTTGCCAAATTACCTTGACACACTTTTGGCTCAGTATGATATCCCCTATTCCAGCTTGACAAATGTGAAGGTGCACTTAGTAGAGGCATGAAACATCAGAGGATTAAGGTCTCCATTCAGGTAGGTGAGAATTCCACTGACATGTATGCACTTGGCTTTAAGACACTGACCAACCTCAAGGAGCCTCGCAGTTAAACATCAGTATCTGTGTATGTACACAGATGCAGAAAGAGGGACAAAGTCACAGACAGTGACATTAACACAGAGGCGTTGTCCTCCACCAAGCTGTATCAACATGCATGATGATAAGAAATGAATTCATGCCTTGTCTAATACAGTTCTTAGACTTTCTACATAAGAAAAGCACATTTTAGGTTTTATTTAAAGTGTGTTTTAAGAAAAAAAAGTTAAAATGACACAAGATCTTTGGTTTCAGAATAAGAAGTTTCTTTCAATGTAATACCAGTTGCCAAGATTACCAATTTCCTACTTACAAAGTTCTTAGGCCTTTTCTCCTAAATCTGGAGCAAAATTCCAAATCAGTTCCAGCTATCCCCAACATACCTGCTCAAAAGTAACTTTCTATTGCTATTATCTGAACCAGGCTAAAAACAATGACCGAGATGTGAACATGTACCTCCATGCTAGAAAACAAACAAAGTCTTCAAAAATCTGGTTAAGAAACAATGTTTGAGAATTAAGATGAGATGAAATTTCATTTGGGAATTAACAGTCTGTGCTCTGTAAGGAGTCTGTGTCCTTGTCAGGGTGTTTTCAGGCTCTCCTTTGCAGGGAAGCAGGTTTAAAATAAATCCATTTTCCCAAAATAGTTGTGATTGAAAATGTTATTAGCCATAACAAATGTTAGTGCTGACAAGAGAATGGCCTGTTAGGGGCCTCTGGTGAAACAGTCAAGTGAAAGTCATATTTCACATTATTGTGAGCATTTTCCTGTGATTTACAGAATATTTGTGAAACATTACTTGCAAGGCGTATGATTGATATTGAGAGAACAGCTAGTGTGTAGGGGGAATCTGTATTTCACAGAGACTGTTTGCATGAAATTTACAGTCCCATAAAGTGCTCCTCTGTCCTCAACAGAGATCTAGTTAAAAGAACTTTACAGTCTGAAACATCCCAAAATTGATTCTAAATTAACGTTTCCATATTTATGTTTAAGATGCTGGTGGTGTAATGCTATCCTATTTTTATTATAAAGCTGCAGTAAGCCCCCACTATTCAGGAATGCCAGCACCACGCCTCTGGACGTGAGGGTTTTAGTGATACAAAAGGCTTGCCTATGAATCAATGGAAAAAAAAGAGAAGAGTTTGAAACAATTATCACATGAGGTGTCTGAGGATACAGCGGTATCTGTCCCTGTCTGCTATAATAACAGTATCTGCTGACATAGTCTTTAAGCTGACATTGTAAAGTACTCTGAAAATGTACATGAATATTTCTATTATGACCAGCTTACATATGGGAACATACAGACACAGGGAAGTTAAATGACTTGCCTGAGTCGTTTGTCAGTGCTAGCATCAGCGCATAACTCCTGTTTGCTGGTTTTAAACTCTGCTCTCAACAGTGCTGGGCTGCCACCCCAGTCTGTTGGACCTGATAATCAAAACAAGGCTGAGTCAGGGCAGTGCTTTATTCCTGCCAAGAAAAAAACCAAGTGATTTAGGAACTGGCTCTGGCAATTCAGCAGTTCTTTACATCCAGAGTGCTGCTAAATCATCAGATTGAGATCAAAAGGCAGACTGGTGCTGCGTCAGCCTCAATCTGAGTGTGAGGTGCCAGGGACCGATAGCCTTGGACTTGTGGAAGGGCAGAGTCACGGTGATTTGGTGTTACCTTTGTATCTTGCAACATCAAGGTTGTGCCCAGCCTCAAGCAAAATGTGGAGCTTCTGTTTCCCTAGCAGGTTTCATCCTCTCCTGCCATACCTCGTGTCTCCCGCAACCCTCCTCACACAAAATGCATCTTCCTCAGTGTACCCCAATGCCCTCTACCCAGCCCCCATCAACCCAGTCCTACTGGCTCCTCTCTCACCTGCATGTCCTGCCTCCCAGCCCCACACTTAACCCCAGCCACAACCCCAAACCTAGCCCCTGCACTCCCCTCACCTGTAGCCAGGCCCTACACTGATCCCTACATCCATCCCGGTCCCTACCCCTCTAATCCACTGCAGCCTCGACATCCCCCATCCCAGGCCCAACCATCCCTCTGGGCATGACCCAGCACAACCACGGGCCCCGTGCTCCCCCACACCCCAAAACCCACCCCAGGCCCTACAGCCCCTCACACACTCCCTCACCCCAGTGCTCACCTCACCCCCATGTCTGCCCCCCCTGGCCCAGACGTCCAGCTCAGAACCAACAACCGCCCTCAGCCCCCACGCTCACCCTATCCCCCAGCCCCCCTGACTGCGACCCCCCCTCCAGCCCCTACAA